GTGCAGAATCGCTAGTGTGTCCTAGGCTTAAGCTAGCTGTGTCTGTCACAGGCAGACACGATAACACGCCAAGCATGCACTGCGGTGTAAATTTGCACTGTGATTGTCTGAAAAAAAATGCTATACAAATTTATCCAATTGCTATGCAAAATTTATTTTGTATAGCACATTTGCTTTGCAAATTTTTGGCTGGAAATTGTTCCCTGCTTTAAAGTGTGCTAACGTTCTTTCCTACACCCTCCCTATCTCGGTCGCTTCGCTCCCTCGCATCGTTTCCTGTCCTGTATTCACATTTCTAAAATCTGGTCACCTTAATAACGTTTTTGAATCATTACTAGCCTACTAGGATATATTATATAAATTATATAATATTATTATGATATAATATAAGCATTGAATTTTAGAATATACTATAAGTGCCTCATATTTAAAACTACAGTTTGACACACACAACAGCAATGCATAAAATATATATTGTTTTGTACTACAGGGATGTTCTGCAAACTATGCACACAGCACAAACAGTTCCCCAAAAGTGGTGATGTGTGGATCGAGACCGGTTGTATACAATACAGGGAAGACACCATTAAAAATCACATCAAGTCTAACACGCATGCCATTTCTGTGGAGCTGGAACGAAACCAGCAAATGTCGCAAAAGGGTCTGGGGATAGTTGGAAGCACTCACAAAATTCTTTCCGCTAAGCAGGAAGCTTTCATAGGTTATCTGAAATGTATGTACTTCCTTATACAACAAAAGATACCCAACACAACCAACTTCAGAAAAATACTAGAACTGTGCAAGTCTATGGGAGGATGCTCTTACCTAGATGTTTAGGGGAAGGAGACTCTTGGAAAACGCAACACATACAAATCAGAGAGCACAACACAAGAGCTGGTTATGTGCATTGGAGAGGTTATTAAGAAAGATGTCTTGGAGACCGTTGCTGCTAGCCCTTTCATCTCCCTACTGATCAACGAAACAACAGATATTTCCGTCTGTAACCAGATGGTGGTGTATGCCAAGGTGTCTGTGAATGGCTGCCCACAAACACGGTTTATTTCTGTTAAACAGCTCGTTGATGGGAAAGCAGATACAATCACAGCTGCTCTGGTGGATGTCTGTCAGCGGGAGGGAATTCTTCTGCGAGATCGTTTGGCTGCCATTGGGAGTGATGGTGCCAGCGTCATGGTTGGCAGAAGAAATGGCGTGGCTGCACAGATGAAAAAGGAGTGCAGTTTCACATTGTCGCACCATTGCCTAGCACACAGGCTTGCATTGGCAGCCAAAGCAGCGTCCGACGGCATGACCACCATCAAAAAATTCAATGAGACCCTAGACACTCTGTGCCGTTTCTACCAGAACTCGGCAGTGCGAATGAGTGGGTTGATGAACATACAGAGGTCCATGGATCTGCCGAAACTCCTCAAGCCGAAACAAGCTAAGGCAGTAAGATGGCTGTCGCATGATGCCTGTAGAACATTAAAAGAGATACTGCCATCCGTGATAATGAGCCTGCAGAGAGAGGCGTTAGAGCGCAATGATCCAGCGGCCAAGGGACTAGCCATTTTCCTAGAAAATTGGAGATTCATCGCCATACTCGGCATGATGTGTGATGTTCTCCCACACTTGGGTATTCTTTCCAAATGTTTCCAGAGGTCCACCTTGGATTTTAGTGCTTTCCGAATGCACCTCCAAACAACCAGGGACGTCCTAGATGCCTATTTACCAGAGCCGGGAAAGAACTTTGCCAGTGTAGAAAGGACCATTCTGGACATGAATGAGAGTGGGTTCGCTGTAACATTTCGCCCAGAAGATTTACCAGTGTTTACCACAAATGTGCACAACAAGTACATACAGGCGGTTCTGGATAACCTGGAAAGCCGGTTTCAACACCATGATGTTGTTGATTCTTTTAGCATATTTGATCCATCTCGCCTTCCTGACATGTCTCTGGCCAGTTATATGAATTGGTATGGTCAGGAAAAGTTGGAAGTGTTGACTGACCATTTTGAAAACGTCGTACACAAGGGAGGGAGACTGTGAAAGGGAGTGGCCCAATGTGCTCGGCCAACTCCGCTACATGGTCCAGGAGTGTGGTGAGAAGCTGGATACAGGGTCAATCCTCACCAAGCTGATCCAGAATTCCGGGGAGATGTATCCCAACATACGCAATCTTGCTGCAGTCATTCCCATGTCAACTGCAGACTGTGAGCGTGGCTTTAGCAAAATAAAACTGATAAAGTCCCCACTTCGAAACCGGTTGAGCAGCACCATTCTCAACTGCTTGATGCTTGTTGCAGCCGAGGGTCCCCCATTGGAGGAGTTTGATTTCCAGGCAGCTACCAGACTCTGGGACAGTCCTAGATGTCTGTCCCAGTTGGGTTTCTTTGAAGACGCCAATTGCAACTTAGATGAAATCGAGAAAAAAAAGAGTACAATCAAAGCAGTTAATATGTTTGCGTACAAACACAGGAAATTTGTGGGTCGCCATGCTATAAGTTCAATAAATATGTTACCAAGATAAAATATTTGTTATTTTTAAGCAACCACCTACAACACAATTAAAAAAAAACAATTTAATGTTTGTGTACATTGTATTTTTTGTACATAACACTAGTGGTAGAGCCCACAATAACAAAATACAAACAGTGGACATAACCAATAGCAAATGGTAAGTCAGATCCAGAACAGTATTGTAAAGCTGTCAATAGTAAAACTACATAATACAAAGTAAAATTATATAAGCAGGACAGCCATATGGTGGCCGAACATGAGCAACGACATTAAAAACGTGGTCGATCAATGTGTGGAGTGTCGACAGAGCAAACCATCACAGCGAGAACAACCCCTGCAGCCAATAGAGTTGCCGGGACGGCCATGGCAGCAGTTGGGGACGGATCTACTGGAATTCAACAAGCAGACATTTTTGGTAGTGGTAGACTATTACTCTCGTTGGATCGAAGTGAAGAGGCTGACAAGTCTGACCAGCTCTGGGGTAATTACAAGAATGAAAGCAATGTTTACGGCTTTCGGTATCCCAGATGTAGTAATATCGGATAATGGGTCGCAATATACTTCTCCCGAATTCCGTCAGTTTGCTAAGTCGTGGGGATTCACTCACAAAACGACCAACCCATACACACCACAAGAGAATGGGATGGCTGAACAGATGCCTAAACACTTACTGATGCTGAATCAGCGAAAAAAATACACGGGAGCGGCGAGCGATTTCGCTCCCGTCAGCTTTCAAAGGGCTCTGGTAACAACAATTACAAGAGCGAAAATTTGGGAAGATACGAGAAAAAATCGGTCCCGTGCCGCCGGCAGCATTCGAAATTAGTTCCGACCCGGAGGTCCACCAAGTTTTTGCTCGAGCCACCATCTCTACGAAACTGTTTTTATGATCGCATAACAATAAGTTTTTATATCGCAGGGGTTACCGTGGGGAGTGAGGGCACGACCAGTGACACCTGACACGCACGTAATCAAAGCTGTTAACTGAATTTGTCACTTTTCTTAACGTAGAAAGTGGACTGTTTTTATTCAGTTAGATATCTAGAAGCAATGTGAACTGTATATACTTAAAGATTCTAGGTAAGATTCTTGTAACTTTTTTTTTAATAAATAAATGTATAATTTATAGATAACATTAACTTAGAAATATCTTTGAGTATAGAAAACTGCACTAATAATATTGAAAAATTCGAATGTATATGTCCCATTATTTTACTTTTGATTTTGAGATATATAAATATATATATATATATATACATATATAAGCTAATCAACCTAAGTACATGATCATAACCACTGTCATCTTGGTACTCAAGATCATTATCATCATTAGCAACATCATGCAACTGATATTCTTGTTCATTTCCACTGCTCTGCATGTCATCATCACCATCGTCCAGCAATGAGTGACCTTCTTCACTGTCACTCTGTTGGCCATCCTGAAAAATGTAATTTCAAATAGTTATTATCACTTCTTATCTTTCTTGAAATCGTTAATTCTTAGCTATCTACCTATCACACATATACACTTATTTAGTAATTAACTGCTTTAGTGATGTTGCAATGTGTTTCCTGTTAGATCTTAATTATTTGAAAATATCCAGTTCAACGACTACATCTAATAATAGTATATAATTATATTAAAGATGCATGTAATATATATCATTTAATATATATGAAATATAATAATAATTAACATCTGTAGAAAATAATACAGTGAACTGATTTTTTCATTATGGTAGGGCTGAGTGGGTCTATGTGTGGATACAAAGGTCTACATACATGTTGTGCCACGTATGTTAATGTTAATTCTGCATGTCTATACATCATACATGTACATAGAACATATATATGTCTGTACGTTAAATTGTCTGCATATGTTCTGCTGTCTATATTGTTCACGCACTGAGCTGTATATGTTATATATAGAGCTCGATCAGTGATGTAGACCGCGGGTACACTTGTGTATCGATCAATCCACACATGTACACAGGGTACATATGTGTATATACCTCGGAGGACGTACAACCCGGCCTTTCTGCCAGGCCTACTGACAGTCGATCAGTACGGATCGAATCATGGCAAAACTCAAGGCCTTATTATACTAATTATTTTATAGCTATTCTCAATAAATGTTTCTTAGAAACTTACATTACACTGTTCCTGTTCAGTTTGATCGCTTGCTGACCAACGAGCCCGCGTTTGTCGAGGAACATCAGCATTTTCGTCCCACAAATAGCGTTTATAACGCACTTGTCTTTGCTCCATGTTTGGTATTCGCGCGCGACGCAGCAAAGGAAACCCCGAGTCGAAAGATATTAATTGCTGCTAACAACTTAGCATTCAACCCTAATGTTTAAAACAAACATAATTATCTATTTTTAATAAAGAATAATAATGTTTATTCACTTTATTAAAAAACAGTTTTTATAAAAAGTAAACGTTTAATGCTTATTAGTTTCTGTTATTCGCTGGTACCCGGTCGACGTAGAGTTCCACTCGCGCTACACTAACAGTATAGCGAAGGCAGCCTTGCCTGAGTGAAGGTGGCGAACGGGTACCAGTCTATTGTTGGTGTTGCTCCTGGTTACCGTAGCGTCGGCGACTCGGCGGCAGTTGACGGACTTGTTCGAGTAGGCGTAGTCAATATGGATATGGATGATGCCACGGAAGAAATGCCTAAGTATGCGCTTATACATTGGGTTAATGGAAATTGCACGAGTATTGTTAAGACTGCAGATGTATGCGACTTAACAATGATTGTCGATAACCAGAAAATTGGCAAAGTGAAGGCCGTGATCGCAGGTAAAAGGGAACCACCTCAAGGATGGCTGAAGTACGATGCTCGGGTGTTGGCAACAAATGGTACGTAGGACCATATACTGAGTCTGCATAGATATTATTAGCCCAACCAGGCCCTATCGACTGTTTTACATCGGGGGGTGTCTCGCCACGTAGTGAACAGCGAGACAGCCAGTGAGTCACCCGTGGCTAAAATATCATATACTAGAACATAAGATGTTATGTTCTATGAACTAATAACTTATGTTCTAAGCTAGCTAAGAAGCATGTTATAATCGCATGTTAAGAAGCTATGTACTATATTCTAAGAACTTATGTTCTATATGACTATGGTAGGACTATAGCTCCAAGAAACGGTCCTAGGCTATACTCCAATAATTTGCGGGGACCTATCCCCGTATAGACTATTTGTCGCACAGCCTCGTCGGGCTATGGTAGGACTATAGCTGTTTTGTTTATCATTGTGCAACGTACAGACTATTTGTTTTGCATTGTTTCACTCCAGTTGTTGTTTGCATATATCATGTTATATTATTTGCCATTTAGATAAATGGAAAGTACTTGAGGAGTTTGAGAAAGAATGGATTGCGTCAGATACAGAAGCTGACCTAAATGCTACCGCTAGCCCAAGAGGCAGGCAGAGGCTGCAGAAAACGAAGGCAACGAAAAATATCGTCGGCCTCCACAAGTGACACCAACTGTGAGGAGGATGCTGATGAAACAGAGATCGCGATACCTAACATTTCACATCAAGTAAGTAGCGCGTAATGTGTATTCAGGTGTAATTAAATCCAAAATCTTTCAGGCTGTACGTGGAATAAAAGCAGGGATGCATGGAACAACAGCAAGCTCGCAGCATAGCGCATACGCTAATCAGCCAATGTACTGGCGTGCATAAAATTCAAACTTAATTATTGTCAGGTCTTAATTCATAATTATGGATTATTAATTGTTGTTCATTGTTTTATTAATTATTATGCCTCGTGGTGGATATTTTCATTTTTTGTACCACAACACAGTTCAAAGCGGCCAGATTAGTTAATATTCTGTTGTTGAATGGGTCAAAAATATGTGCTATCATTTAACCTGCTTTTTTACTATGTAGAAGCGTATTAATTAAAATGCCCCCATACCGCCAGGGATGAGATACCTGCATTTACAACATTGGCTACAGCGGAATGACCACTGAATACATTGGCTTGATCTCTCAAGTACGGAATTTCGATTAATTTATTCATGGCCATTGCCTTGCCGTACAGGTGGGAGGTTGTGTCACATCCGGTCACTGCGTGAAGAAAAGGCAGATTCTTGCACACTTCACTGCCCTACTGCTCTTGAACTTTCTTCATGTGCCAGACGCGCGCACCTCTTGCGTTTGCCTTTGGCTCAGGGCTGAAGAAGAGATCGCAGCCATCCTGGCGAGCATGGTAGCATAGGAGAACCAACAAATCGGTGTCATCTCCAACAAGAACTGTCGTGTTGGCCATAGCAGACTCCACTGCTGTTTTGACTATGAGTAGATCATCGTCTCCATTAGCATGGTAGGTTGTGCAGCCAGCCTTGGCTCAACATGACGAGAAACCGTTGCTTGTTCTTGGGATTCGAGAGGAAGTTATCCTTCTTCAGCGTAACGACCATGCTTTCTGTAAAAATGACAGTCGCTGCGACCTTCCCAGATGTGCGCCTTTGCTGCATCATATGTTTAGTCGAGATCTCGTCGTATCCATCGAATACCACGATCGCACTTCCATATTCCCTGGACACGTAAGTGCAATATAGGTTGCACACTTCCTTGTACATCGGAGAACCTCTCGGCCACGGGATTCTGTGTAGGAGAGCGCCGCCATCCAACACGTACTGGACAACCCCTTCTGGTTCTGTCTTGGCCTCTGGTGACAGCTTGGCCCACAATGCATCTGCTAGAGCCGGCTTTTGTGGCTGCCTTAATGTGACTGGCGAGTCGAATAGAGCTGTTGGATAACTGCAGAGCTCGTAATTAAATAATCTCCATTACCCTAGGCGGTGACGACCCCCAGCGGTGCAGGCGCGCTGCGACCACTTAACTTGGGCCTCTGGCGTTGTTGCTGATTGGCTTCACGCCTGATTAGCGGCATCTAAGCCGCGGTTAGCACTTCATGGCTATATTACACTGTTGACTACACTTTAGTGTCACATCGTATTAGCCGTGTAACATAGCCAGTGCTTTATCCCTATGCTAACACTAACGTTGCAGTCTCCGCACGATCACGCCAGCTGATTAGGGTCCCCCCCGCCGTAATCCTTTAATTGGTTGGGGCAGGTGTCCCCCGACTTTTGGCGTGCTGCCGTGGTCGGTGGACGCTCGCAGCGACCAATCAAGACCTCCGGCAGTGAGTTCCCAATCGCGCGCCATCGTCCACAACATTGTTGCGCCGGTGAGGGGGGGGGAGAGAGATGCTCTATTGATATTGGCTGCGTGTGCCGGTGGGGGGGAGAGATAGTAGCTCTATTGATTGTGGCTGCGCGCGGCGGTGCGGGGGAGATAGTAGCTCTATTGGTTGTAGCGCTGTGCTGCAGCGTTACACTTCTCCCCCCACTAAACCGATGTCTACAAAAGTGGACATCGAATGCCAGCCTCCCGGCTGGCCGTCCATAGGGAGGGCGGTCGACGTCATGCTAATAATACTGATAATACAATAACACATTACGGTCTACTGGTGTGGTCGTCGACCACACCGTACAGAGCTACTAGTGTGATAAATATGTTCTGAAGAGACCTAATCGGCTTTACCGTTACAACTAATGTTCATGTCGCTCATGCGTCAGGGTTGCCTTTCTCCTCATGTCCGTTGGGGGAGGTGGGTGGCTGTGACATAGCGGCCATTACAGCCGCTACGGCCAGCGTTTGTGTGCCATTTGGCGTATATGTTCGGGGTTAAATATGGTGTGTGCTGGGTCGTCCTTCTCGCCGACTTCAAATTCATACATCGTTGGGTCGGCGTCAGTGCCCGACCCGACAAAGGAGCCGACGTACTCCCTTTGTGGGAATGGCGATGGCCGATCGCCATCCCAAGAGCTATCGTCGGAGTCGTATTCCTCACTGGAGCCTCCAGTGGTGTCAGGCTCCGGGTAGGTGTAGGGGTGGCGTGGCATTGCCGTGCCAATGAACTGGTCGTTGCGACCCGTACACTTAGAATGTGCCCGAAATTCGACGAGTGAAAGCGTTTTGTACGTTCTGTCACCCATATTTTAAACGAGTTTTTACCCATTCTAATATGAGGTCATTCTTCAGAAATCCTCCTTTTCCAAATCACTAGAATGAGATAATGTTATATTGAGCAAAGATTATTGAATGGCCGTGCAGGCTATTATATAACATTGTTACCTAAACATTATATAGTACCAAGTGCAATGAAATTCTTTCGGATTTGTGTCCCTGTTGCTATTTAACCAAAAATGGAAAAGAAAACCAGGAAAACCAGAAAAATTTAGATGTGTTCTGCCACAGTGACCATTTGCGTCAGCAATTGTAATTTTTGTTCACAACGGATCACTAGTTAACTGTAGTTAACCTTTTTCACAGTGCAACAGGTGTATGAAGGTCAGTGAAATAAACTGACACTTGCCTATTAATCCACAGAAATATGTTTGGTAAGTGGCAGCTACCAGAAGTATAGAGCGAATACATATCATGTTACACCAATGACGCAAGTGTAACACCAATGACACAAGTGTATTACCAATGACTAGAGTACATAAGCTTTCTCTCTAGATATTATTAGATTCTCCCTTCATGCAATGACATACGTATGTAGCTCAAGAGAGGGACTGGTACAAATCACAAGTAACAAATCTACTACAAAAATGAACACATGTAACCCTTATACAGGAACACTGAATCACAAACTCTGAATCACAAATTCAAAATTTTCTAAAATCTACTAGAATAATAAATGCATAACTGGTAAATTAAGTAATATGACTTCTGTCTGCGGTTTACAAGTCAGCAGGAAAAATAAAATTTACAATAAACGTAAAATAACATTTTGTTTTAGTATATAGCAATTCTTCCTCAGGTTCACCTATACGACAACAACTAATGAAACAAGTAATGGAGACCCAGGTCCTAGAAACAGACAGAAAGCGATCTAATACATTTGCTCACCCTGACTTTTTCTAGCGCATCCCAGATTTCACTTTCCACAGCAAAATATGGTCACCTTGTACCATATCCCTTAGGTTCTGGTATGAGGGAAAGAAGATCACTTTTGTGATGCCAGTTAACATCCTTGTTTTGCGGCCAGTAAAACCTGTTTCTGCTAAGCGGCTTTATGCAGTTTACCTCGAGCTCATCTTCCCCTGTCTCAGTGATGATGCCAGGGTACAGTTTTCCATCATAGTGTTACAGTATCATACAGTATTTTCCAACCATATTTTCATTCAGTGCAGAAGGCAGCTCAGGCGGCTCTGTGTTAGCATTAACACCTACTTTGGGAGAAGGGTTGGGATTGCTTGCAGCAGTGTCCTTCGGAACAGCTTGAGATGGGGCTTCATCTGCCACATTAGTCACATCAAATTCAAAGGTTGCTGGTGAGAAACGGTCACAGTTCAGTACACCACCAGAAGATTGGCAAACTCAGCTCACATTGCGATATGAGAACTTACCTGGTGACAGGCAGATGATCTCATGTAATTTCATTGTTCCGCTCACAGCTTGGAGATCATGAAGTACTGGAGCCAGTTGCCGAGTCTTTTCATTAATTGTTGCACTTTCAATATAGTACAGCTTGATGCTAGTACCGGTGGCCAACAGTTGCCTGTATAGTGCATCAGCACTTGAGATGTCCTGTCCTATTCTGACCAACCTATCGGCTGTCCTCTTAAGTGTGCCCCCAACTCCATCAGGAGCCCCCTTCCCATGGGAAGCTTAAAAAAAGTTTAATACCAGATCCTGCTGCCCTTTGCCTCTTCTTTCTTCTATCTCTGCCACTAAGACTTGTCCTCTTCCTCTCCTTGGGAGTCAAGTCCGGTTTCACGTAGCATTTCTTCCATTTGTCCTCTAGTGCCTTTGCTTGTCGAAGTAGATGACTTCGTACATCTGTTGTTTCAAGACATCTTTCATCGGTCTGGCTAAAATTTGCAAACTGCGAACAACAAAATACTGCAGTCATTCTGTCACTAGTCTGCGAGGTGGCCTGATTTCTCTACCTCTAACACGACTAACGCGAACACTGGAAGTACTAGGAACAGAACTAGTTGCACGTAACGGTTTACTGCTCGCATCATCACGGTATCTCCTGTCTGCAGAAGTCGAAGGCGGATCATCAGGTTGTTCCGCATCGGTGACGACCAGTGGTTCAGCGGTTGCCGGATTCTCCCTCGTCCTGACTAGATCACGGCGATTACGCCTGATGACTCGTCCCCTCTGCCTGACTAGGTAGGATCGTGGAGTTCCCGCGTTTCCCAACACATGACCTGGAGTGAGCACCGTTAGCCCTGGTGTACGCACTCGAACTTGATCACCTGCGTTAAGTGGTTTAAGGGTCTGCGAAGAACGGTCATAATACGACTTCTGAACAGTCTGCTTGTCGTTCAACGTATCTCGAACATCTCTATTCTCGAAACGAAGAGGTTTGAGACTGGACTTGACAGTTGGAAGAAGCATTCTGGTACTTCTCCCCAACAGCATCTGAGCTGGCGAAAGCTCTATACCTGGTATGGTGGTATATCTCAAGTCCATTAGAGCTATGTAGGGGTCTCGCTGATCATCTCGAGCTTTCTTGAACAATTTTTTGACGGTATGAACGGCCCTTTCAGCTCATTGCTCTGTGGATATCGCGGCGACGACGTTGTGTTGTCGAACCGGTAGTCACGTGCGAACGTTTTGAACTCAT